CTTGGGAACAGCTGCAGGGCTAAACAGGATATGCACAAGAGCTACGTGCTCCATCCTTCCGGTGCACTCTGCTGAGCCTTGCTTTCTGCGGGGGATGGGGCCGGCTAAGCATTTTTTCGAGTCGCTTGACCCTGCGGCTTTGTCGACCTCTTTTCCTTTTTATGGAACAAAGCAGGACAGATATCTCAGATCATGTACTCCGTAGAAGATGCATTCTTCGTTCAACAGCCTAGCAATGGCCCTCCTGTTCAATATCTTTGCGGGAAACAAAGAAATATAGGTGCTGTGGTCGGCACTGTTTTCTTCGATCCGTTTCCCTCATTCCCTGCCTTCATCGTCACTGCCCATGCCCGTTGTATCGCATGTTCATTCGGTGGTGACAGGGGCAAACCGACAACCATGCCCCAGCTTCTCCTCACGAGATGAAATGACGACTTCGGTCTAGGACATTCCCTGATTCCATTTTTTAGTAATTCGGAGCCCATGGTCTATCCAGTATTGCAACATGGCATGGATGATGAGGATATATATCACCATAACTGCCTCCATGGAGCATCAAGCCCTCGAAAAAATCAATCTTATACCCAAGTAAGCAGTTAGAATCTTGACCTCCGGCCTCGGGCATATTAACTATGAAGACAATATTACTTCTTCTACCTTGCTTCCTGGCCTTAAGTGCGGCCGTACCAGTTAATGAATCTACACAAAAGCGGGACCCAGGTTGGGAAGCGCCTTTTAAAGCTGTCACCATGAGAGTTATGAAGAAGAATCCCTCTCGAGAAGAATACCTCCAGGCGTCCCAATCGCGCTTCTGGGTAGGGGGCGAGCCGTCAACCTCCTGCCCCGATAAGAATTGTTCTGAAATAAAAGAGACAGTTCTAAATGGAGGCAAAATGGATTCTTTGGTAAATACCCATATAATTAAAACCCCCCTCCCCTATCCTTACCCCAATGAATGGCCCTCTTTTCAATCTCCCCATTCTAATTGCTGGGATAGAGCGTTGGAGTTGATGGCGGCCAGCGTATATATCTCGACGCTGACGGTGCCCTGCGATATACATCACCATCTGACCCTGCAATGCCGCCAGGCTCATACATGGCTAACCTGAATTACGCATACGACTGGGTCTTCGTGCCAAATCAACCGGGAACATGGTGGTGGGCATGCCCGAACACCCGGCTACGCAAGGACTACTACCAGCTATTTGCCCCTTTCAGCAACATAACGGTCCCCGGTGTTGAAGATCCTTCAAAGTCTTGCTATAGGCAGATGTGGCTCGATTTGAATATACTGGCCCACTACCCGCTACATATGTGTATAACTGAACTGGTGGAATTGGGTTTGTAATTTCCTTTCTCCTATTTCACTTCAATGATGTATTCAATGATTCGATAACAGCACACCCCGAATATTTCGGTTTTTTATGCCCATCACGAGTTTACAGCATGTTTCATGTATTTTACTGGCGAATAGCTTGCTTCCTTCAGAACTATTTTGTCCTTTATGCGCTCTGAATGCATATAGTCATTTATCCGTAAATTCCCTCTTAAAGAGCACAAGATAGATAAACCGATAAGATGATTGATCGAATATAAAAATAGATAGGTTGTGTTCTAGTCATCTAGGTAGCCTACAGAATTAATATAACACCAAGGGGATATATAGAAAATCACAATATTATCAAATGAAGAGAGAATATAGAGGAAAGAAAAGAAGGGGAATGAGCGATTATATACCAGAGTCTTCCTGGAAGAATTCGGCGGGATAATGGTTATCAGCGTTGCCGTACCATTTATCCCAGTTGTCGCACACTCGGCGCATTTCCTTGACATCTTCAGGGTGGGATTTGAGATATTTTACAACGTCGTTCTTATCTTCCAAGATTTGAAGAGCAAGGCCAGCAGAAGCATGCCATGCGATGTGGCAGTGCATAAGCCAGGAACCAGGGTTGTCAGCTTTGAAGGCAATGACAACAAAGCCGTTGCTGGGAAGTAGAACAACATCGCGGCGAGGTGGGTTATCAAGCTTGAGATTCAGATTCTTGCTGTTGAATGGTTCATAAGACTGCTGCAGGAGGGCGAAATCATGGCCATGGAAATGTAGCTATTTTAATAATGTTAGCGCTTGATAGCCCTGTTTGATGAAACGATTTCCATTATTGACATACCGGATGAGCATTTGGAGCCTGTGTTCTCGCAAGCTCTGCTTGTTTTTCTTGCCCCGTAACGACAAGGTATACCCACTGCTCATGTGTATAGTCGTTTGCTGGGTAAACAGTCCAAGTTTCAGGCCAATCTTCGATGTCCATGTTCTTCACAATGGGTTTAGAGTAGTTAAGCCACATCGGCTGGGGCCCAACCCCCCAATTCGCAATCTTTGGTGCATCAGCAGGACGGCCGGGGGGGTTCCAAATATCAATGCCGATTTTCTGCGTCTTTGTCATCAAGTCTGGTGCGAGTAATGGATCTGGTACAGTCCATTTCTGGATTCGTTTCAGTCGCTCATATGGTTCATCGCGGCAACTGATATCGTATCCACCGCCTTCAGATTTGGGCAGCATATTGGTCTTCTTCCCGTAGTACAACGCCCCCATCCTTTCGTCAGGCACATGATCTTTCCGGAATCTGCTGCATCCATCTCCCGCAGGTACCATGCGAATCCAGAAAGAATCCCCGTCTTTCACGTCTGGTAAGGTGTTTAGAATAACATGATAACGTTGGCCTAAGCGTGTTAGATGCCTTTTTTCCCCTATCCTTTCATTCCTTCTGAGACAAAGTGCAGTGTTACTTACCAATACCAATGAGGATGTGAGAAGTATCATACGGCTCCAACGGAACAAGATCGGCACCTATGACAGTAAAATTGTGCTTATCAATCGAGAAGACGAAAGTGGTATCGGTGGATGTATTAATCAACCTCATCAGATACTTTTTGCCCTTTACAGAATCAATGTTAGATTTTGAGGGTGAAATGTTTTCGAACAAGACAGTTACTCACTGCTTTCACAAGTGTGCTATAGGGTTTCCGGGCTGTAGCGTTGTTATAGTTTCCTATGATTATAATTAGCATCAAACCTTCAGGTTGAAGTTAGAATTATCCCATACCAATTCCATTCAAAATTTGACTGTCCATTTCTGGGGGTATCCTGGTCTGTACTTTATAGTAGTCTTGGAAAGCACTCCTATGAAGATGATCACCCAAAAGGAGAGGGTCAATGGACGCATCATATTCTGCACTTGAAGGACCGTGGATAGTCAAAGGACCAACTAAGCCATCTGAGTACTGTAGAGAATAGTGGCTGTGATACCACGTTGAACCGTACTGTGTAGCTCTAAACCTGTATGTGAAAGTGTCCTCTGGTGCAATAGGGCATTGTGTAACGCCGGGTACACCATCCATTAGAAGGTTATCGAACATTCGGAGGCCATGGCAGTGGAGGGCAGTTCCATTGTATTTTAGTTTATTGGTAACGGTTATTTCTGATATGAGTTAGTAAGGCTGTAGGAGATCAGAATCATTCTTGGGGTTACTAACCAACAATGTCGCCCCAACACGCTTCTAGTCAATGTTAATAAATGCTCCGGACTAAAATAATTGAGAGGAATACTGACGAATCCAAGGGCCTGGGTACTGGCCATTAAAGAGCATCGCATGATTTGCAGTCACCCCGTCAAGATTGACACTACCTTCATCCACCACCAAGTTATACTACCAGGCCAGGAGATTAGATTGCATAGTTGAAGATACACGGGTAGTAAAAGGAGATAGACTGTGAATTTACCTTCCTTGTCACACCCTCCGGGAATATATTTTCATAATCGGTCGTAATATTGAATGCTCCTGGAGCAGGTGCTGGTCCATTACCAACCCATTTTAACCATCCAGTTTTGCTGCCATTATCAGCCGCCCAGCCCTTCATTGAAGGGTATTTGCACTCAATAACGCGGCTGTTACTATCAACATTTGGCGGGGGACTAAATGAGGGGCCGGGGAGGGTGTCTTTCCAACGAGGAACGGATAGGGAAAGGGTACATGTGGCGAAGAAGCCAATATGAAGAAGATAATTTAGCCTCATCGCGAGAGGGGGCCAAAGGGTAATCCGATATGAATTTAGTGATTTTGATCTCTTTGAATTGAGAAATGGTGGTGGGCCTTCATGATATTTATGTTCTATCAATCTCCCATGGTTCCAAAGTGGATACAGGCATATCATATCCATCCCCGAAGGCCACAATCGGCCTCCCCTCTGGCGGGTTGTAGGGCATACGAGCAGGATGACTGAACTCCTGATGGGGAATGGAAGACGGTGCCTAAACGACGGACTTGAGCTTGCATACTCGAATGCAGGGTAGGGAGCAAAAGCGAGTGAGACGGAGGTTGCATTTCCATTGATGGGAAAGCGGATACCCTATTGCTCAACAAATCAATTTCCTAGCGCATTCCTACGGGCCGTACTCCATAAACGGGCATCTCAATGCATTCGTTGTGATCTAGCCTCCGAAGCATCCCAATCCATGTTATGCCTGTTCATATCAAGAATGTTGAAGGCCTGCTGGGATAACGTCGATCAAGAAGCTGCCCAGAATTTCTTGAATGAGATGGATAGGAAGTTAGCTGGTGGCCATGATCTCGAAACATGCGACCAATGGAAGGTAGCCGTAAATAACACAAGTTTCTATTTTAGGGCATTCTGGTCCCAAATTAGAATTTCCCACGCTTTCAAGCAGGGGGATGCATGAACATTCCAGGGGTATCATCCCACTATTTCTCCAATTGGAAGGTTTTTCGCCACGACATGATAGAATCAAGACCGTAACAAAATGTGGTGAATGTACTGCCTTCTGTCGAGAATTACCGCTACCTCGTATGCGTATTCCAAAACGCAGTTATCGGGCAACTGAGAATAATTTTCTTGTTAGAAACACTCAGCGTGAGTAGGTAACGAGCATGAGTTATCTCGTTTCCGAAAAATTTAAGAAACAGGAAGTTTCCCATGATGTTACCCTTGTTTCTGTGTATCATCAAGGATTATCATGACTCTTCCATCTGGGATATGTTTTCCATGCATGGAGCACATGTTCAACGGAGTTGAAGGGAACGGAAGCAAAACCTGCTGCGCTGTGTCGATCCACCCAACGTGAGTTGGCGGATGCATCAAGTAGTGGCAAGCCTTCAAGCATCTTGAAGGGAAATATGTAGATGTGAAAAGCAATATCATCCCATCCACCGGGGTGGACATGCAGGATGTCATTCCGTAGATAGCCAGTTGTTGGGTGATGTTGAGAATGCGATATACGATGGGATTGTTCCTTTTTCTCACGAGAAAGGATTTCATCGAGGACTGATTATCGTTAGTTATCGATGAAGATTCCTCTTGGCGGGATCCTGATCATGGTAGTTAATTATGGTGTACTTAATCCAAAATTGCCATTCATTTCCCTCGTCCCTCGTTGTCAAGCTTCTTGATATTCCCACACTTTTGCAGATACGAAGGGAGGGCATGCTCAGATGTTGTCCCCATTCTCGCTTTCAGCTATGCTGGAGTAAAGAGGTAACTCATTCACAATGAACAAACCCCCACAAAGCTCGGTTGCATTTCGGTCAATGCTCGAAAATCGAACCATGCTCAGCAATCCAGGGTTCTATTTTTTGTACCCTGAACATGCAGGATACCGGATGGAGAACTGAAGACCGTTTGGATGGACATTGCAGTGTCCAGGGCCCTTCCAAAAAAACAACCTGGTTAAACCATAGTATATGGTGGACTCGATAAACCTTTGCTCCAGATCTTGAAGCCATATTTTCCTTCGAGGATGGAATACGGAGAGTGGAAAGGAGGTGAATGGAGACATGCCAACATCACACTCAAACAACCACCAACCAACCCAGAGACTAATTTAAACGGCCGTATGAACTTCGTACTTCGATAACTAATGTCGTGGCCTCGATGCTGTGTCGTAAATATAGCAGTGCATGACAGGCCATGCTTGTTTTCTGCAGCATGCATCGTGCATCTTGCTTGTATTTCTTGGACTTGACAGCACTTCTCTCTCAGTGGCTTGAACAAATCGAACCCTGCGCTTGTCATCTGATAAAACGCTGTCGGTGGAAAGCAACGGTTAAAGTTCGATGCGTTGCATCCAAGAGTCCAGGGATCCTCCCAAGTTCGTACTGTTTTCTGAGACTGATGCCAAGGATGATGCTTGGCGAATATCCCCGGGCCGAAGGGCGTCCTTGCCAGACCATCAGCTTATCCGAATGATGCCGACTATGAGAGAGCTAAGCGGAAATGCATGGAGGGAATCTCGAGTCAACAGTAAGATAGGAGTGGCATATTCTTGCCGTATGCGTTCACGAGTCGCAAGGACCCTAGCCGAAATTCTATTTGCATCCTGTCAGGACTAGCATCTAAGCTCACTCTGCACGTAAAATAATGTACCAAAAGTCCAAAATAACCTCATCAGACATAAATAGATCAAAAGGAGAAAGAATACCCTAAGCAAAAACGTGTTCCAAGCCATCAAAACGCCTTAAAAATTTCCTTACTAGAGCATGCAAGGAAGCATTAAAGGAAGAAACAAAGGGCCACAGCATGTTACCAACCCACATTTATACCTATTCCCCGGCCCGTGTAATCGACAGTTTGCCTAAACTCTCCCAGTCTTACTCCGATATCAGCCAATAAATCAAGTTGTAGGGATCCACCCAGAGCATCCTTTAATGCTTGGTACCCTGCTCCGGTCAGGTCAGGGTGGACAGGAAGTCTCGGCGAGAGAGATGACCCTGGCGGTACGGCGAAAGGTGTGTCATATTGAATTGTACCGACAGGAGAGGTGTGGTTAAAAAGCGATGTAGCGTTGATGTGTGTGACATAAAGAGTCTTCGATGAGAGCGGCGACATAATCGTAAAGTCGGCAGTAGATGTCAAAAGATGTAACTACTCGGAAGGAGAGCCAAGTAAACATTTGCTTTCTGAGAGATTTCCATCCAAGAATAAGGAAAAGGAAAAACGGCATTCAGGAAGGTATACGGTTCGGCATAGCGGGGGAAAGAATGATGCTAAACCAGCACAACCCGAACTCCGGCTCGGTGACGGAAACAGTCCCGCAACGGAGAGTATGGAATCAGGAGTTAAAACTCTGGAGAAGGGAAAATAATACCGTTGCATCTTTGATCAGTGGTCCGCTATTTCCATCACCCTGACCAGGAAGGTGTAGCCTAGGGAGAGGAACTTCGATTTCAAACCTGGACAACGCTGCGCCAAGTCGAGGAAGTGATGGGATAGTGTTTGTATAGGTCTTGAGGGCAACGGTTGTGTTTTTCCCTAGAAAGCGGTTAGCTTCTTTATTTAGAAAGTGGTTCAAATCCGATGGACGTTACCCGAGACACATTTTGACACGAGGTCCCGTCCTGCTGTGGCACCCTCCTCACCACCGGATTCCAAGGGGTTCCACAGCGCATCAATCTCGACTTTTGTATTCTGCCCTGGGTGTATATGTAGGTTGTGCCCGATGATATGCGCAACATCACTTGAATTGTGAACCAACTTAATGTCAAAGTAGGGCATATGGGCAGTATAATTGGTTGGATTGGTGAAATTCACAGTAATCCGGGAGAGTACACTGTTCTTCGTGGTTTCAATAATTTTGATAGACTGCATATGAGGATTTATATCATTGAGAGTAAAGCCGGAACCGTATGGTGCTTTAGAGCTGTTAGTACTAGAAATCTTTCCTGCGCCTCTTATTGTAGTAAATTAGACTCACGTTGAACAATAATATTCCCACCAGAAGGAATGTCTCGGACGATAAACTCGCCAAGGGCTGACTGCAGCTCTGCGTCGACATGGGCATCAACTCGAAGGGGGATACCTTGGCGTTCGAAGAGCATTTTTTGTAAGACTTCGGATAAGAGATCCTCATCTGTAACCTGCAAGGGTGCCTTTTGAATGTCGAACTCTACTACCATTATTGGGTTTCCATCCGCGTCATCCACAGCTCGCTGAACTCTTGCATTCTGCCACTCCTTGATGTTGATAATGCCAAGTTTGTGATCATGATAGAACACGTCAGCATTAGTACGAACTCGTGAAATATTCACAGGAACATTAAGATGGCTTGGTAAACCAACGACAGCCTGCACCAAAGCTGAAACCTTGGGCATAGACTCTGGGGTATTTGGCCTTGAAAATGGATCAGGGAGATAAAAATGAACGTTCTTCATCGAGAAGCGTTTGATTAATCGTGAGAATCCTGGGCTGGTAAAAGGGAATGGAACAGTAACACTATTCAGCAGCTCCTGTAACCACTGAGGGACAGTTGGGGAGACCATCGATCCTCCACGAACGTAAATTGTGGTAACGAGCCCACGAATGTATTTACTTATCAATAAATCAAGTGGTGATGCTGTAGTCCCAGGGCAGCTTCTAATAAGCTTTTGCGGAATCTTAGGGGCGAAGCCATGTATAGATATGGTTATAGGTTTTCTTGGCTCAATATTCACTGAATCGGTTGTGGCATTTGCCACCATAATGTAGGCTTCATCGGGCGTGCAGCTAGGGACGAATATGTCGAACTCGACTGGTGGTAATTGCAAATGGATAGGATACCGATTAGAAATTGCAACAGCCACATCAGCAACTACGGCTTTCGATTTTCCAGGGCCCGAACTCTCATGGATGTCCAGGTTTGTGATATTGAAATCGGGGAGAACAGAGAAATCTGAAAGGCAGTATTAGCACTTGATCAGGCAGGTTTTTATGTCCTTGAGTCCTTGAAGGAAGCATGAAAATGAGAACGAGGGAATATCAAAAAGCATTAGGGGGGAAGGGCCACCAGACCTCGCAGCACCACAGTCTCTGTTATATATTGTGACCCCAGATACAAAAGACCAGATTTCAACGGGACTCTCGCCATTCCTTTAAGGCTCAATTGGGCAATATTGCCCTCAATCAAGTCACTGACGGCCCCTTTGATTCCATCGGGATTACCCGTTGCAACCTCTGCGATAAAATCGATCTCATTAAGATATCCATTCCGAATATTAATTTTGATCGGAGGGAGAGTAACAGTGGCTAGCAGAGCATCTTCATACTCTGGAAGATATATGTCCACCTCTGATTTTTCAGATTCGACCTCATGCCCTATCCATGTTCCAAATCTGCCAAGGTCTCGGACAGTTGGGTTCTTCACACGAGATGCGTCCAAAACAACGGTACCACGCACCCTCGTTTTTATACCAGAGGGAGTAAAATTTGTGATGGAGAGTCCGGTTGGCTTGAAAACTGTGGCTTCTTGGGCATATTGTTTCATCATTGATGGCGCGGCAAATCTTAGAATTAGAATGGCAATGACTGAGAGACAGAGAACGACGAGTGCGATCACCGTAGGCCATCGCAGCCCACGGTTCTTCTGCCGAGATATCGAGTCTATGGAATCATCTTCGTCCTCCTGTAGGCCTTCGTGTCTGTGTGCAAGTAGTGGTGTGGTTTCCGACAGAGCTGGGTCGTGATCGTGGTCTACCACAGCCTCCCGGCGGCTAGATGGCTGTGGAGATTGCCATTCCCCTGGCGGAGGGCTGACCGTAGTGTTGGTCATCGTTATCTGACTTAAGAGCGGTCTCAGGTATGTTTTATCGAAGCAAACACTCCATAGCCTTCAACGCTCCAGGGTTGCATGTCGTCTCTCTCAACTGCTCGATGACGACAAGCGATGAGGACCAATGGGCCGAGAAGCGCCGCCTGCGGTTTTCCCGCTTGCGTTAGCGCGCGCGTGACCGGGGCTCCACAGTATTAGTTCGATTACGTAATGAAACCCAATATTGAAGCGTTTCTTTCTCTCAAGCTTGATGACTCTTTTGAAGTAGCACAAACATTGAGAGAGGACAGCTGAGCAAGGCAAAACATTTTGCTTACCTTTTTGACTGTCCTTTCTTTAGTCCGATTGACCGGACGTTTCCCTCTATACTTTTCTAATTTATTGACTTCAAGTACCCCTGCAGTCACAGCCATAACTTCAACGTGAGCAATCAAGGCCGTCAGATTGAACTCGGAGATATACAGATCAAATAAAGATGCATTCCATTCTTCGGAGAAGATGCATTGGGAACGTTGCAAAGCTTCAGTCTCGAATATACGCTACTCCCTCGGCCCTACCACCCAGACACCTCCTCTCGATAGCAGACCTTACCCCAGCTGAGTTCACAGCTCTAGTTCGAAATGGCCTGTCCCATAAGCAGGCAATCAAATCCGGGTCAATCCCGCAGTCTCTCAGAGGTGCATTATCAGGCCAAACAGTTGCCATGGTTTTCCACAAGCGGAGCACGCGAACTAGAGTT